TGGCTCTACGTACTTGGTGACCCTTACTAATTCTCTCAATTCTGCTTTATTCATATTTCAAAAAGAAGGAATGTGAAAGAGCGGAACTCGTGGACAAAATTGCCAGATCTGATGCATTCGTGTACTCCCTCCCGTTTTTCATTTTGCCTCACCCTTCGTAACGGTCTTTTAAATGTGAAGTGGCAAGCGCGTTCAGTTATCGAAAATCCTATTTTGCATCGGATTAACATCTGCGCTAATTTTTTTTTTACATATTTCATGACTCCTGAAGAGTGAGAGGTAGTTATGGAAGCCGTTTATATGATCAGTGTTGTCCATGTTTAGATAAAATGGGGCAGAACAGAGAACATATTCCTCCCTCTTCTGTCCTCATTTAATTTTTCATTTTATTTCATTTTTAGTCTCATCTGATTTTATTTTTATTCTTCACAGATGGCATGCATGGTGGTCCGGGATCTGTTCATCCAACCGTATCTCAACGAACGTCAGGCTCAGGAGAGTATTCGCGCGATGGAACGTCACCTGCTACCCCACACCAGTTCAATCCTGGAAGTCATCAAGGGATGGTCATGGTGAGAAAATTTCTAAAGCCATAATCAGATTTCACCGTTTGTTCATAACGTTATTATGGTTGTTATTATTACTACCGTTTCAATTGTATTCTTTCTCCAGCGCCACAGTGGCACGCCTATGTCGAGAGCGGACTCACAAGGCAGCGTCTTTGGAAGCACGCCTTTTGGCGTACAGCAACCGCCGACGGGTGCTCCTCCAGGTGCTGATGACATTGAACACCCCGTTGACAAGTTGTTCACTGCACAGGATGATCACTGTGAGTCTGAATAGTAATACATTGTTTTGCGGCGATTGATTGTTCTATTTTTCAGTAGGCGACCTGGGTGATTTGGATGACATAGAACCCATGGTTGATCTCGGTGCGGGGTTATTAGATGAAATCACAGGAAGCAGCCAAGGCAGTGACACTCTCAGCACATTCGGTACTCATATGGGTGGACCTCATTCCACGGATTCATCCAACTGCGCAGTGCAGTCATCAAACGGAGATCGCATAGGTGGGTTGCCTCCGTCTTTTATTTCACAACATCTGATTGATGAGTTTTCTTCAAGACTCCTCGATTGCATCTGTGGTGGAGATGGTGTCGAAGAGTGGCACGGCACCAGGTATGTGTGGTGCTCCCGCTGTATCCCAAACCGGAACACATCCTGGTTCAGTGGGCTCATGCGCAGGCAATATGAAGCGACGGCCGAGTAGTGCTCAAATGGCAGCCAACATCGTTGCCGTTGCCGGACAGCAGCAGCAGTTGATGGCTGGTAAGTTCTTTTGCCTTTATTGGTGTTTATTGCTATTGCCTTGTTTGCGACTTCATTATATCAAGGTGGTTTCGTTGTTCAAGCAGACCAAATTTATGAGCGTCAGCAAGGTGTCATTATGCCAAGCCAACGGCAGAGTGGCTGCCCATTAGGTCTTCTCTGAGGAGTTTTGGTTGTTCTAAGCTTTTTGTTCGGCTCGCATTTAGAAGTCTTATTGATATTTGACATTTCTTCCTGTGCACGCTTAAAATCTAGCTGATCAACGCCATTTTAAGCCGATCTTACCCTCACTTAGTTGTTCCACAATGGTTGTCCACCGTATCGTGGTAGCTCTAGTGTCCGTGATGTTTGTGCTAGACAAAAGATTAACTTAGAACAATGAGTATCAGTGTAGTCGAGTGCCTCTCATAACTTATGTGAAAATTCGAATTTTTCAATCTAATGTGATTTACTGCACAGTCTTTACTCATTTACCATTTTCGGTGAAAGAAACGTTGAGCCGTAATATAATAGTTGGAATATTATGCATGCTGAGCAGTCTTCATGCGCTATTGTATTCAACATTATTTTTCAGACCCTCGATTCACCATGGGAGCCCCTGCTCATCATATGATGAATCCAGGTCCGATGCCGGTTCCTGTTCAAATGATGCCACCAATGGCTTCATCTCCATCGGCTAGTTAGTTTTTTTTGTTGTTGGGTGAGGCTGTTTGTTGAGTTTCATAGAATTTATTGTCCTTTAGGCAATCTGTCACTTGAGCACAATGCACGAGCACAAGTTTTTCACGGGCGCGCCGGAATGGCGAAAGCTGGTGAAAATGGTCCCGGCAGACTTGTCAACGGACATGACCAGGCGAGCTTTTAATAATTTGCATCTTTCGTTTTCAACGTTTTTTCAATAGGGTCGTGGTCATAATTTGCGACCTCACGGTTTTCGATCGCAGAATCGCAAGATTGCATGCTCCCCAGTGCGTTGGTACTCGTCACGATTTATACTATGCCACCCTTTTTGTGGTCACGTCTCGCAGTGTTTCCTACTTATCTGTAAAAAACTAAAGAAATAAAACGGTGGTTCCTAATAGACACAATAGTGGAAGGCTAATAAAATGAGAAACTAAACAAAAGTGAGAGCGGATTAATAAGAATGATGGTTGAGCGAACGAGCATGACAGAAAAGGATGACCATATGAAAAGTCACGCAAAGGGCGCATGCATAGTCGGTCGTCCGACAGCAACGATCGTAACTGTCGCACAGCATTGGATGCGTATCGATCGTCGGACTTGCCTGAGTATTCGACGATCGATACGTATCTAACGCTGTGCGACCGTTACGATCGTTGCTGTCGGACGACCGACTATGCAAGCGCCCTAACACTTGCGCTGCCATGTGCTATTCAGCATTTACAGGCATTTCTACAGCACACTTAAACTGCAAGCGAACTGCAAAGCAGTCGCAAAATATGACCGCGTTGTTATACATATTTCTTTTAGACAGGAATACCTAATGGAGCTCGACGGTCGTTACCATCATCCCAACCTCCAGATTCCGCCGATGAGGAACGGATAGCTGAACTTGTAAAGAAGGTTCGCTGCTTTTTGATGTCGTTGGAAATTTGGAAATCTAGCAGTTTTTTCAAGTTTCTAATGAACTTTTATTCCAGGTTGTGGCGCAGGGTGAGAGCCAAAAGGCAGCCGCTGCTGAGCAAAAGGTACGTAAACTGTAGTCTGTCAGGCTGTCGTCTTTTTTCAAGTTTTGTTCCCTTCCCCCATTTCATCATGGGAACTGCAACTGCTCATCAGGAATAAAAAATTTTCCAGGCGAAAGTACCTCGAAAGAATCGGCGTAAAACTGATTTGAGTAAAGAGACAAGCCCACGTGACGATGAGGAGCCTTTCATTGTTGATGGTACGTTGGTTTGTCTTCGGTAGTGAATCTTTTGTTTTTAGAGAAGAGCCGTCTGCAATCTTACCATCACCGTTATGATTTACTGTTTTTGGCAACAGTTGGTGGGCGTGGGAAATCTATTCATTTTAGGTGGAAAAATGCTTTTGAAAATATAAGTATCTAATCTTGGTAGTAAAAATTGACGGAAGCTGCCGCTGATAAATTCCTTCAGGGTTCGGTTTTTCAGGAGTTGCGGAGGATTTGAGTTGTACTAGTTTACAGGAGTGTCTACACAATACCTCTTGAGAATCATGGTGTTCAGTTCCATTCTCTGCAGTTTAGGCCAAAGGGCTCATTCTTACATGTCATCTACGTATATCCTGCCCCATGCAACTCAAAAGTTGTTTTTGGCATTCTGTGTGAACATGATTCTCGGAGCATGCAGGTGACAGCCACCAGTTTTTGATAGAAATCATGAAAGGTAATTGGTAGCATGGCCACTTGTTTCAAAAACAGTCCGAAATAATTCGGAACAGGCCGCATACACACACTCTCTCAAAGATTACTGGACCTCCCTTAATAAAGTAAATTCCTATATGTAAGTAACTCGAACGTTCTCCACGGTCGAACAGAAAGAGTAAAGAAGTCTGTGGAGGGTATTGCGAAGCTGCTTTTTTGTTTGAGGTCCTCTTATCTCGTAACTTGTATAAGCTGTATGTGGCAGAATCATTACCTGCTTCTTTAGCTTCACCTCAACGTAGCCCTAGTCTTTTCATTTGTGCTTGTCGGATTTATTTATTTGTCGGATTTATCATTTATTTCCATTTGTGTTAAAACCATTTTGTTTATTTTGTTCTCCACTACATGTAATTAAATGTCGTAAAGTCAAAGTTAAAGTTGTTCTTTTTAAAGGTGCGCGAAGGCGAGCGGCGGGTGTGGCGACAAGTCACGTGCAAGCTGCGGCGTCAAATTTCCAAGCGACTATGGCTCGTCAACAGCAAATTATGAA